AGAGAGAGAGAGAGAGAGAGAGAGAGAGAGAGAGAGAGAAAGTTAAAGGCTGCCCTATTTAACAAATAAAATGCTAGCTACCCATTGAAATTTAAATACTTATAGATAATAAGTATTTTTTGGTATCACTATATCCCTGTTTTAGTCAATTTTTCACTGCCGTGACCAAAAGATCTTACAAGAACAATTGGAGAAGGAAGAGTTTATTTTAGGGCTCATGATTTTTGAGATATCAGCCCATAGATGGCCAACTTTATTCTTTGAAGCCTGAGGTGAGGCAGAACATCATGGCAGAAGTGTATGGTAGAGGAAAGCAACTGGAGACATGGTATCAGGAAGCAGAGAGAGAAACTCCCTTCACCAAGGACAAAATATACATTACAAAGATATACCACCAAGGCTGCAGTTGTGGCTCAGTGGCAGAGCACTTCCTGGCTTGTGAGGCCCTGGGTTCATCCTCAGCACTGCATATAAATAAATAAAGTAAAAGATCCATTGACAACTAAAAGATATACTCCCAATGACCTGTCTCCTCCAGCCTTACCTTACTTTCCTACAATTACCACCCAGTTTAATCCCTATCAGGGGATTGAATTATTGATTAGGTTAAAGCTCTCATCACCCAATCATTTCACCTCTAAACTGTTTTGCATTGTCTCGCACATGAGCTTTTGGGGAACATCTCATATCTAAACCATAACAATCCTCAATGTTGCAAAGGATATACTTGTAAAAAGCTATTTATTGTTTATTTGAAATTTAAATTTAAATAGACATACTATATATTTGTTTAGCAGCTGTAATAGTATGGAAGCAATTGAAGAATAAAAATTTTCAGATTCTGCCTGGTGTGGTGGTGCATGCCTGTAATCCCAGTGGCTCCGGAGGCTGAGACCAGAGAATCTTGAGTTCAAAGCCTGCCTCAGCAATATCGAGGCACTAAGCAACTCAGTGAGACCTTATCCCCAAATAAAATACAAAATAAGGCTAGGGATATGGTTCAGTGGTCAGTGGCTGAGTGCCCCTGAATTCAATTACCAGTACCCCACACCCCAAAAATGTTATCAGGTTCTAGATACATTTTGAAGGTAGTATCAGTAGCATTTGATAATTGATTGGATGTTAAATATAAGAGAGAAATAGTAGTGAATAATTTTAATAAAATTACTATCAATTGGATTAGGGAGCATAGGTTTATCGGAAAAGAGCAGGAATTCAGGTGCTGGATGATTAAAACATTAGTTGGATGGTAGTTTAATGGTCATTCTTTTTATTATTATACTTTACAATTTATACATGTAACAATTATTACATAGAAAATAATTATATAATAAAATAATTAAAAGGAAGTGATAAAGAACAGTTAAAGTCGTGTGCCTGACTGAGCATAAGGTTAACCATTAAGTTCCAAGTGTTGAATTTTGCATATATTTCAAGACAATTGATATAGCTGCATTAAAATAGGTTGAAAGTCATAATCTAGAGTTGAAGTTCTTTATATATGTTTTAAAATATATTTGATGTATATTTTTTTCTAATGCACCAGTCTTTCACCTATTATTTTTCTCAAGGGACTAGACCTCTAAAAACATAATTATTTCAGTATTTACTATTCCAGTATTTTTTTTATAGTTGTTCCACATCTGGGACAATGGAACAAAATGTGTTAAAGAAGTGACTAGCAATCATAAGAGACTTGGTAGAGTATGAGAAAGTTAGAAAATAATGTCCATATTCATGATGTGCCCAGTGGCTGTATTAAATATTTCTGTAGGATGATTCAGTTAAATTCTCAAGATAAACATGGGTATGCTTACTTAAACTGTATGTGATAGAATTATTTTTTCTCTTTCATATAGCGTTAAGACACGACCAGTTCGAATGCCTCCAGGATATCAAGCAGAACTTGTTATTCAGTTGGTGTGGGTAGATGGTGAGCCTCCTCAACAGATTACTAGTCTTGCTGTAAACTCAGCATATGGAATGTAAGTAATTAAACTTTCTTTCTGATTAGTATTATTTAATTTTTACATTTTACATGTTTCTTTTAAAATATTTAAGTGAGGTCTTTAAAATTAGAATCCCTACCCTCATTTTCATTAGATTGAATGTAGGATGAGAAAAATAATAATTCAAACTTAAAATATTTATTCTTTTTTGTTGTCAAACTTGAGGTAGTGTGCCCACTTCTGATATTATTAGAAGGTTGTTAGGGTGATACTACAATTGTACTTTTTTGTTTGATTGATTTTATATTTTCTGTATCTTCTCTCCTTGGATTTCCTTTTCTTTTGACTTGGCTTTTAGAGATCACTAATTCTCTCTCCAACTAATATAATGGTAGATCCACCATGAAGTTTAATTTCAATTATTTTATTTTTCTGTTTTAGACTATCCATTTGGGTCTTTTAAAGCTTTCAGTTCTTTTCCTAAATTGCCTCTCTTGTTTACTTCTTTGAGATGTTGAATGCAGTTATTTTAAATATGTGTTTGATTGCTCCATATCTGATAATTATAAGTATTATCTGGGTTTATGGTACATTATATTGTATTCATATGTGCCAGATTTTTTTTAAATATGTATTTTTTAATTGAGACATGCAAATTATAATTTGGGTTTAGAAACTCAAATGATGTTACCATCCTCCAGAAAGTCTTTACATTTCTTCTGGAGATCTACACTAGGAGAAAGGCTGAGAATTGCATAATCCAACCAGATATCAGATCTTTGGATTTTATTCTGTTAAAAGTCTACTTTAATTCCTTATTCCTAGGTCATAGCCCTCCGCAAAGGTTGCATCAAACTTATACTCCCACCAGCACTGTTTGAGAATGCTTGTTTTCCCACAACCTTTCTAACAATAGTGTTAATCAAACTTTTGATCCCTGTCAATTTGTTCAGTAAAAATTGATGTGCCATTATACTAGTAGAATTTTCTTGTGTCTTCAGTGAAATTGAACAGCTTTTATGTACTGTGACATTTCTATTCTTTGTCCATTTTCCTGCAGAATTGTTGACCTTTCTTGTAAAGATTTGTAAAAGCTATTAATATATTAGGGGTATTACCTACCTTTGTCATGTAATTTGAAAAGACTTTTTTTCTGCTTTTGTTTGCTGTAAAACTTTGTTTAGGATGATGTTTTCACATGGATAACTTTTTGTGATAAAATCCCCCCCCCAAAAATTCAATGTTCATTAGCCTATATAGACTGTATTACATAAATTCAATTGAATTTTATGGAAATGAAAATGAATGAATTATATTTATGCAACAATTATTTTTAAATGTCAAATATACTTATTATAACATGTGAATCCATCAAAAGACTTTTTTTTAAAGAGAGAGTGAGAGAGAGAGAGTAAGAATTTTTTTTAATATTTATTTTTAGTTTTCAGTGGACACAACATGTTTGTATGTGGTGCTGAGGATTGAACCTGGGCCGCACGCATGCCAGGCGAGCGCACTACCACTTAAGCCACATCCTCAGCCCCATCAAAAGACTTTTGAACTTTGGTTTTAATACTTTATAGTTTCACCAACAGTTCTTCATCTTAAGAATTCAATTGTCAGGATGCGGGGAAGAAATGTATGAGACAGGGCTGGTTTTTTCTATTTGTCTTTAAAATGCTTTTATTAGTGAATTATAGTTACATGTAATAATATGATATAATCAGATGTGTATGGAATTTAATTTGCTCCATTTCAGTCTCTGGTACTTCTTCTTTCCCCCACACCCCTCATTCCCCTTCTCTATCTTTCTTCTATATCTTTATTTGTAATTAGTTTATTATAGATACTCATAAAGGTGAAATTCACTGTGGCATATTTATACATGCACATAGCATAATTTTGTTGAATTCATTCTGCATATCCTCTAATTTCCCAACCCTTCTCTCTCCCCCACAATCTCCTTCTTATACTCCATTGATATTGTTTCTCTGTATTTATGATATCTGACCCCCCTCCGTTCTTTTCCCTTAATTTGCTCTAGTTTCCACATGAAAACATTCAGTTGATTTTCTGAGTCTGACTTATTTCTCTTTGCATGATGTTCTACGTTTTCATCCTTTTGCCTCCAAATGCCATATTTTTTAATTCTTTATGGCTGAGCAAAACCCCATTGTGTATATATATCACCTTCTCTTAATCTATTCATCTATTAATGAGCAGTTGGACTAGTCTCATAAATTGGCTATTGTGAATTGTGCTGCTATAAACCTTAGTGTGGCTATATCACTATAGAATGATGATTTTAGTTATTTTGGTATAAATGCCAAGGAATGTGATCACTGGATCATATAGCTATTCTATTCTTAGGTTTATGAGGAATTTCCGTAGTGCCTTCCAGAGTGGTTGTAATTATATGCAGTCCCACCAACAATGTATGAGTGGTACCTATTCCTCCACATCTTTGCCAGCATCTATTATTATTTGTACTCTTTTTTATTAATTCTTTTTAATTATACATAACAGTAGAATCCATTTTTACATAATTATGAAAGCATGGACTATAATTTGTTCTAATTTAGTAATTGCCATTCTGAATGGAATGAGATGAAACCTTGGAATAGTTTGGATTTGAATTTCCCTGATTGCTAGAGCTGTTGAACTTTTTTTTCCATTTATGTTTCTTTTGATAAATATCTGTTTAGGTCTCTTGCCCATGTATTCAATGGGTTATTTGGGGGGGTTGGGGGTGTTAACTTCTTTGAGTTTTATTTTTTATATATTTTAGATATTAATTCCACGTCAGAGGAGCTGCTGGCAAAGATTCTCTCCCATTCAGTATGGTCATACTTCTTACACCTAATCATTTCCTTTGCTGTGCAGAAGCTTTTTAATTTGATGGCATCCCATTTATTGATTATTGATTTTGTTTCTTGACTTTTAAGAGGTCTTATTAAGGAAGTCAGTGCCAGAACAGATATGAGGGAATATTGACCATATGTTTTCTTCTAGCAGTTACAAGATTTCTGCTCTAATTGTTAACTCTTTGATCCACTGTGATTTGACTTTTGTGCATGGTTAGATATAGGGATATAATTTCATTCTGTATGGACATCCAATTTTTCCAGCACCATTCTTTAAAAAGACCTGTCGCCAACATATATTTTTGGCATCTTTGTCAAATATCAGATGACCATAAGTATGTGTCTTTGTCCCTGTGACTTCTATTCTATTCCCTTGGTCTTTATGCCTATTTTGATGCCAATACAATCCTGTTTTTGTCACTTTGGCTCTGTAGTATAATTTGAAATCAGGTATTATGATTAGTTCACCATTGTTCTTTTTGCTTAGGATTCCTTTGGTTATTATGGATCTCTTGTGCTTTTTAGTGAATTTTAGGATGATTTTTGAAGAATGTTTTTGGTATTTTGATGGGTATTGCATTGAACCTGTATATTGCTTTTGGCAATATGACTGTTTAAAATGATTAATTCTCTTATCCAAGCACATGGGAGGGCTTTCCATCTTCTAATGTCTTCTTCAAGTTCTTTCTTTGGTGTTCTGCAATTTTAATGGTAGAGATCTTTTACCTCCTTGATTAGATTTATTTCCAAGTATTTTTTAGGGTGTTATAAATGAGACAATTTTTTAAAAATTTCTTTCTCAGCAGAATCACTGTTGGAATATAGGAAAGCTATTGACTTATGAATGTTGATCAGGTTTCCTGGTACTTTGCTATATCTATTTATCGGCTCTAGAAATGTCCTGGTAGAGTCTTTCAGATATAGGATCAAGGATTGCAAACAGTTAATTTGATTTTTTTCTATTCATATCCCTATAACTTCCTTCTCTTGCCTGATTGCTCTGTCTAGAGTTTCAAAAAAGAGTGTTAAATAGAAGTGGTGACAGTGGACATTCTTGCATTTTTCTTGATTTAAGAGGAAATGTTTTCACTTATTCTCTGTTCAGTATGATGTTGGCTTTGGGTTTATCATTGACAAAGCCTCAGGTCAGTGAGGATGGGAGGCTTTGGGCATCTTCTAGCTATGTCATCTTTATAGGGCTGGAACTCCCAGAACTGCTAATGCAGCTTCTTCTTGTCCTTAGTAGTTAGAAATGGATACCTTAAAAATATATTTGTCATATTGATAGTTCACCATTTTCATGGAGGGCCCCAGTTGAGAAATTTTCAGAAGCTTAGAAATTTTTTAAAAGGAAAAACATCTTGGAATATTTTTCTAAACAATACATTGAGAGTGATAAATCCCCCTATGATAAAACCAGTTTCCAGATGGAAGCAGGGGCTCATTGCGTGCAGCCAGGAAATGGAAGATTTTGAATTCAACCTTGTCCTAGGGACTAGATAATTGCTGCCTGGAATTTTACAATGTGCAGAAGTTTCTGCAGGCCGGGGAGGCATAATGAGGTTTGGGGGAGTATGCCCAAGCAGGAAGCTCAGGACCAGTTGGCCAACTCCAGGCTCATAGGGTGACAGCTCTAGCAGATATCAGAAATGCTGGAGGAGGGAAGGAAGGCTGTATAGAAGAGAAATTCCTTTGGTGCATTTTGAGGGCTTTGTCTTGGAATGGAAAGAAAGGGTTTCCCAGGCTCTTTTTCTCTATACCTGCCAGTGGGCAGAGCTAGGACTTGACAGACAGGTATTCTCCCTGTTGTTCTTAGAAACGGAAGCTGACCTCCCTCCCACCCGCAGTGTGCAAGGTGACTTTCCCTCTTCAGGTGAGAAGGAAGGACCCTTTTACTACATTATTTAGGCAGATGAAGGCTAATCCCCTTCATGCTGAGGCCCTTTCATCAAGAAGCCCTCAAACCATGGCCTCTATTCCTACAGCCACCATCCCTTTTCTACTCTTGGTCCCAAATGCCTGTTCTCCCTGAGTTCTCCTGTGGTCCACAACTTCCTGTGGCTTCTTCTTGCCTGTTAGTCACAAGCACAGCCCAGGGGTAGCAGGATGGGGAGGATGAATATTTGGTCAGTGCAATTTCAAAATGCACGGGAGTTTATGGACAGGAATCTA